TTATTTAGACAGGTTTTTCTCTGCCTTCAGGAATCTGTGTGCTCTACTGACCTTTATTCCTGGATAAATCACCCATCTATGGAGCCAACATCCCCTATATTCCAGAGTCTGCTTCGTTTGGAAAGAACCCATAGATGTTTTATCTGGGACTGGGCTCCTAATATGTAACTGCCCCCATCTAATACATCATATCCAAACATGTTAGCTACAGAGCTTGGCTTTTTTCAGAGGGAGACTGTTTATTCAGATGAAGATACTTGAACTATTAGGTATTCTTTTGCATGCAAACTTTTTTTGTTTTAGAATTTTTACACAATCTTTATTTTTGGCCACCACCTTTCCATTGGCGTCAGCTCAATGAGTGAAACAAGATCTTGCTTGTCAGTAAAGCTTCACATTAGCTGTAGAAAGAAAATATTTTGTAAACATTCCATTAGCATATATTTTAGTTTGGCTTCATATATCTAGTGCCTAAGAGGCATCATCTCTGTTTTTGTACCTTTCTCAAAGCTTTTTTGCTACCAGATTTCTGAGTTTTTTTCAGCAGGCAGATAGAATATCTTTTTGTGCTATCTATAAAGGGTGAGCCCAAAGGATGTTTGCAGGACGGACTCTTTTGAAAAGTCCCAGGGTCCATCATCACAAAAAACTTGCATTTTTAGTGTTGCCAGTATTTTAAAATTATGGGCCAAATTCTGTTCTTGCATTGGTGTAACTGATAACAGAATTTGATCCAATAAGAGTATGCACGGGCTGGTAAAAATTCATATGATAGTGTGATGATACTCTGAAGTGACCGTGAAAAAGAGGAGGGCTTGGTCCTAGAAACAGTAGCCTATGGACACAGGTCTTGCCTAAGAGGAGAAATTGCAGGTGTAAATAGCAGAATGGGGTCATTATGATCAATGAAAAATGTGCAGTGTTTGGGCAGAAGAGTTTTGTTTTGATACACAGGTTAGTATTATCATCATTATTTATAATTTGTAGGATCTAAAATTTGCATGTGCTGTTACAAACACATTATGAACAGAGAGTCCATATCCCAAATAACTTGTTATAAAAAAAACCAAAAGGATAAATGGTAGAAAATACAACATATATGGGTTTTGTTATTTTTACATTTCCTTTCATAATAATAGAATGAACTTATATTTTACCTTTCCTCCAAGGAGTTATATGTGTCTTTAAAACCACTTCACAACATCTTAAAGATTAAAAGACTTTTCCAAGGCTATACTGTTTTCCTTTTATCCTGTAATCACTGCTGTTGCTTCACTGTTATGGGGGAGGGGGGAGGCTGGTACGGATTTTTGTTTGTTTGGTTTTGTTCCTCAAATGTTTTGAAATGCAATGAAAACCTTTTTCTAATCACAGTTATCTGAATGTATTAATAGCTGGATGGGACATTACCTTGAATTCCATTACAGAAGCCATAGTTTCTAATGCGATAGTAACATTCAGATGACCAGACCTGTACAATAGTAACTGCATTTCACAATAACGTAAAACGACATTTTGTATGCCTAGGTAGGGCAATCAGCTAGTTATCTAAGGTGTCTGTACACGAATGCAAGATGCCTGGGAAACAAGCAGGAAGAATTAGAAGTCCTGGCGCAGTCAAAGGACTATGATTTGATTGGAATAACAGAGACTCACATGACATGGTGGGATGACTTGCTGTCATGGAAGGGTATAAACTGTTCAGGAAGGACAGGCAGGGGAGAAAAGGAGGAGGAGTTGCACTGTATGTAAGAGAGCAGTATGATTGCTCAGAGCTCCAGTATATGGAGGGAGAAAAGCTGTTTGGGTTAAGTTTAGAGGCAGGAGCAACAGAGGTGATGTTGTGGTTGATGGCTATAGACCACCAGATCAGGTGGATGAGGTAGATGAGGTTTTCTTCAGACAACTAACAGAAGCTTCCAGATCACAGGCCCTGGTTCTCATGGGGGACTTTAATCACCCTATTGGGTGAGCTTGGCTTAGCAGTGAAATTCTTGGTGAGCTTAAATACAAAAAGGAAGCTTACAAGAAGTAGAAACTTGGATGGATGACTAGGGCGGAGTATAAATATATTGCTTGAGCATGCAGAGGTATAATCAGGAAGGCCAAAGCAAAACTGGAATTGCAGTTAGCAAGTGATGTGAAAGAAAACAAGAAAAGTTTCTGCAAGCATGTTAAAAATAAGAGGGTGCTCAGGGAGGGTGTAGGGCCTCTTGTGGATGAGGGAAGTAAACTAGTGGGCTACGTCTACACTGGCCCCTTTTCCGAAAGGGGCATGCTAATTTTCAACTTCAGAATAGGGAAATCCGCGGGGGATTTAAATAAAGATGTCCGCCACTTTTTTCCGGCTTGGGCCCGCCACTTTTTTCCGGCTTGGGGAAAAGCCGGAAAAAAGCGTCTAGACTGGCCCGATCCTCCGGAATAAAGCCCTATTCCGGAGGATCTCTTATTCCTACTTCAAAGTTTCCTACTTTCCCCAAGCCGGAAAAAAGTGGCGGACATCTTTATTTAAATCCCCCGCGGATTTCCCTATTCTGAAGTTGAAAATTAGCATGCCCCTTTCGGAAAAGGAGCCAGTGTAGACGTAGCCGTGATGTGTGGAAAAGCTGAAGTACTCAATTCTTTTTTTTGCCTCTGTCTTCACAGACAAGGTCAGCTCCCAGACTACTGCACTAGGCAACACAGTATGGGAAGGAGGTGGGTAGCCCTCGGTGGAGAAAAAACAGGTTAAGAACTATTTAGAAAAGTTGGACATACACAGATCCATGGGGTCAGATTTAATGCATCTGAGGATGCTGAGGGAGTTGACAGATGTCAGTGCAGAGCCATTGGCAGTTATCTTTGATAACTCGTGGAGATCAGGGAGGACCTGGATGACTGGAAAAAGACAAATTTAGTGCCCATTTTTAAAAAAGGGAAAAAGGACACTCCAGGGACTTACAGAGGGGTCAGCCGCACCTCAGTTCCCAGAAAAATCATGGAGGGGATCCTCAGGGAATCCATTTTGAAGCACTTGGAAAAGGGGAACGTGATCAGGAACAGTCAACGTGGATTCACCAGGGCAAATCATGCCTAGCCAACCTTGAAATAGTCAGTGAAGCTGGGATTTAAATATCCCGTGCTTCATTAACATGATCTCGCTGGCGTGTTACTCCGATCAACAGCTGTTTTGAAAGTGAAAGTGCGCACCGGGACGTGTTAGTTTGAACCAAGGGGTTTGATTCAAACTAACACGTCTCAGCACGCATTTTCACTTTCAAAACAGCTGTTGATCAGAGTAACGCGCCGGTGAGATCATGCTAATGAAGCGCGGAATATTTAAATCCCCGCTTCATTGACTATTTCAAATGCCTACATTTGCATCCCTAGTTCGAACGAGGGTGCAAGTGTTGACTTACTCACACAATATTCTTGCCAGCAAGTTAATGAAGTATGGATTGGATAAATGGGATGTAAAGTGGACAGAAAGCTGGGTAGATTGTCAGGCTCAATGGATAGTGATAAACTGCTTGATATCTGATTGGTGGTCGGTGTCGAGTGGAGTGCTCCAAGGGTTGATTCTGGGGCCAGTTTTGTTCAACATCTTTATTAATGACCTGGATTAGGGGATGGATTGCACCCTCAGCAAGTTTACAGATGACACCAAGCTGGGGGAGAGGTAGATATGCTGGAGAGTAAGGATAAAGTCCAGAGTGACGTGGACAAATTGAAGGATTGGGTCAGAAGAAATCTGATGGGGTTCAACAAGGACAAGTGCAGAGTCCTGCACGTAGAATGGAAGAATCCCAAGCACTGCTACAGGCTGGGGACCAACTGGCTAAATAGCATTTCGGCAGAAAGGACCTAGAGATTATAGTGAATGAGAAGCTGGATATGAGTCAACAGTGTGCCCTTGTAGCCAAGAAGGCTAATGTCATATTAGGGTGCATGAGGATGGGCATTACCAGCAGATCTAGAGAAGTGATTATTCCCCTTTATTAAGAACTGGTGAGTGAACATCTGGGCTGCGTCTAGACTGGCATGATTTTGCACAAATACTTTTAACAGAAAAGTTTTTCCGTTAAAAGCATTTGCACAAGAGAGCGTTTATACTGGCATGTGCCTTTGCGCAAAAGATTTACTTTTGCGCAAAAGCATCCATGCCAGTGTAGATGCTCTCTTGCGCAAGACAGCTCTGATGGCCATTTTAGCCATCGGGCTTTCTTGCGCAAGAAATTAACTTGGCTGTCTACACTGGCCCTCTTGCGCAAGAATACTTGCGCAAGAGAGCTTATCCCTGAGTGGGAGCGTCAGAGTATTTGTGCAAGAACCACTGATTTTGTACAGTACAAAGTCAGTGTTCTTACGCAAATACTCGCAGCCAGTGTAGATAGACGGCAAGATTTTGCGCAAAAGGAAGTGCTTTTGCGCAAAATCTTGCCAGTCTAGATGCACCCCTGGAGTATTGCATCCAGTTCTGGGGTCCCCATTACAGAAAGGATGTGGTCACATTGGAGAGGGTCCAGAGGAGGACAATGAAAATGATTATGGGGCTGGAGCACATGACCTACGAGGAAAGGCTGAGGGATTTAGGTTGTTTAGTTGCAGAAGAGAAGAGTGAAAGGGAATTTGATAGCAGCCTTTAACTAACTGAAGGGAGGTTCCAAAAAGGATGGAGAGAGGCTGTTCTCAGTAGTGACAGATGGGAGAATGGGGAGCAATGATCTCAAGTTGCAGTGGGTGAGGTCTAGGTTGGATATTAGGAAAAACTATTTTACTAGGAGGGTGGTAACACAATAGAGTGCGTTACCTAGGGAGGTGGTAGAATCTCCATCCCTAGAGGTTAAGTCAAGTCCTGGCTTGACAAAGCCCTGGCTGGGATAATTTAGCTGGGGTTGGTCCTGCCTTGGGCAGGGGGTTGGACTCAGTGACCTCTTGAGGTCTCTTCCAGCTGTATAATTGAAAATGGCTTTCCATTATAGTGTTATAATAAGTTATGGCAATTTGTTTTCTTTTCACAGCTGGTTTTAGAAGGTTCATTCCACAACACGAAACCTGAAAAAATGGGATTTATACATCTATCCAGGTATATACACCTAGCTATTTGTATGACCTGCCAGCATATTGAACTTGGTCAGATAATAGTCAAAGGAATAACAGTATTTAACTGTAACACTTGATAACGATCTCCTGCAAAGATTTCTCTAGGACCCAGAGCGATTGCAAGTGCTGACAAAAAAAAAAAAAAATCAAGTACCTGAATGAATTCCCCCACCTTCTTATGATTGTGTACCTGTTTTCCTTATAAGGAAAACAAGGAAGTAAGATAAAGAACAGTGTTAAGTTCCATAACCATGCTGAAGTTGCTTTTATGCACAGCTTGTCGTTCCTACCTATCCAGGTATCCTTTGTTTTCTTTGTATTAATGTTCTGTCTTAATAGTTTGGAAGTTTCTCTTCGAACCTGTGTAAGTATCATCTTAGAATACATACATCAAGAATCTATGACTTTTGCAGTATTCCACAATAATCATTTTACCCTGAAGGTAATTTTCTTTTATGCTTTTAATTCACAGCCAGAATTGAAAACGAATGGGGATTGTATTGTTTTTCCTGTTCTTTCTTTTTCTCCAAAGAAATAACAATGTACAAGGTAAGGCTTACAGTTAGTGAAATCCACTTATTAAAAGCCTATTTTACATTGGTTTTTGTTTAATATTTTAATGTTAACTAGCTTTCTATATTGTCTGTTCAGTCATTCCTTTCTGCTTAATGAATGTTTTTGACAGTGTAATTATGACTATAAAGCCATACTACTTAGAGAACACCTATTCATAATATAGAACTACTTGCACCGAATACACATTCTTTTGAGCCATTTTAATTATACAAATCAGAGTTTGACCATCATGAAATTTTACACTACATCTGTGACTCTGGTGATGTGTATATGGAACCTGGCATAATTTTAACTTCCAGTGCAAGTACACTGAAAAGCTGAATGAAACAACTGTAACGTGTACAGTGTTCACAGATCTATTTCGCTAAAAAATCGAGTTTTTATTAAACAAATTTAATAATTATGAAATGAATTTTAGAAAAAAATAATAGTGTGCACATTTTTCCTGAGTGAACTTCGGACCTCCATTTTTAATTAAGTACTATTTATTGTGTAATTATTGATCAAATTAAATACTAAACAAATATAAATATTTTTATTATGGAATTTTAACAATAATCCTAAGTATGTTCAAATGTGCCATTATTTTTATCGTCAATATTTTTAACAAAATGAAAATATTTCATAAATCAAATGTTTCAACCCATTATTAATCTATTATCTTTGTGTGTTTAAATATAGGAAGCTGTCCTCCAGGCAGTGCAGTATCTTGTGAAGATTGTTTGCTCTCTGGACCGCAGTGTGCTTGGTGTTCTCAAGAGGTAAAGTAAATGATCTCAACAATTTCAAAGCCATAAAATCTGAGTGTTTGCAATGACTAGGAGTGATGGAAATATTGAATTAACTAGATCAGATGGTGCTTTAGTAATGTAAGAAGCATTTAGAGGGGGGAAATGCCCGTGTAACCTTCTCTAGGAATCAAAAAGTGGCACAGCTGGGGATTATGATTTATTTTTCATTGTTATCTGATTATTTTAAAAAATCCCCAGATTTTAGCACCTTTGTTTCTGCCTCTCAGAGGAGCTATAGTGGTCATTTCTGAAGTGACTGTGGTGGTATTGTATAGGGGCTGTAATACAGGATAGAGTGCCCAAGATATGGAGGTTTTGTGACTAAAGCATGGGGCTGGGAAGTAGATATGGATTTCATTTCCAGTGTGATCCCAGGCAAGCCAGTTACCTCAGTTCTTAATGTGTAAAATGTGACTAGGAATACCTCCTGACCTCGCCAGAGGTGTTCGGAATCTCAGTTTGTGTTTATGAAGCAGAATCTTAGCTTTAACTCTGAATCTCTGGGCTTGTGGATTTTGTGTGTTTAAAGTAACTGGGCTGTACCATTAACAGCGTGTTTCTCAGTGACAAAATTTAGGGGACATTTGCAGTTTAAGGGCCGAAGCTTGAATTCCTTATACAGGCACAAAGGAATAGTATGAACCAGTGGTATGAGCACAGGATTAGAAACCAGGAATTTCCAAATTCTAGTCCCAGCTTTTACAAGGATGTTCTCTGTGGACTTTGTCAAATCACTTAGCCTCTCTGCTGAAGTTTTCACACAGCAATGATGATAATACCTTACATCAGTGTTGTGAAAATTAAGTGACTATAGGGCTTTGAATAGGAAGAGTATGATATAATAATAAAACTGGCATTCCACTTGGTGAGAGTAGTGCAGCCAATCCAGTGGCTATTGAAGTCAGTGAAAAGTCTCTTGTTGACTTCAGTGGGCTTTAGAAGAGATCCTAAGTGTGAGACAAAGCCAAACAACACATAGGGCTGAATTCAAGGAAGTGAATACAAGTGCCATGTGAATGTCTGGGCTAAAATCATGGTCATGAAAATATGGTGTTAGTTAAACATCAGGTGAAAGATGGTCAGAAAAAAGGTGTAAGTTATGGAGTACTTATTTGCTATTCAGTAGGTGTCCAAAAATTAGTGTTGACAAAGAAAGGTGCAGTAGAAAAAACAACTTGGGTAAGACTCAACATACGCTTTAACTTACATGTCTTCATTCCCAACTGTCTTGGGGCCAAATACATACTAGGTATGAGTGGCACAATTCCCATACTACCTGGTTCACACAATTCCCATTCCACTGGTCCTGCTGGAATACAAAACAAATGTAAGCTCCATTCATTTTTCAATTAAAAGCCTACTGAGTGCAAATGTAGACAGTTGTTCCAGCAACACACATTTCTTTGCCACCTTATACCTAGTGTGTAATTTACACTACAATGCCTGTCACCCCTGCATTTGGCCCACCATGCATAAATAATTTATTTTCCATTGTTCTATAATAAATTTGGCTCTTCCTTTCTTTCTGCTGTTTGTTTCAGAATTATACTGATGAATCTGGAATTCATGGAAGGTGTGATACTCTGGAAAATCTTTTGTCAAAAGGATGTCAGTGGAACTTCATTGAATTTCCAATTTCTAAAGTAGAAATTCACAAAAATAAACCCCTTAGCGTAGGAATCCAGAAGAATAGCTCTGATGTCACACAGATTTCCCCTCAAAAGTTAACTTTTAGATTGAGACCAGGTAAGTTACTCTGTTCACAACTGTGATACTTTCCTGCTAATGCTGTCTTTCCAGGTTTCACCTCTCAGACTAAATTGTTAATGATCTGAAAAACAGAATGTATTGATTGTATTTAACTTAAATGTATTAATAAACTCAAAATTAACCATTATCTGTAACCAAATAAAACCTAGTGAATATTTATCATGAGTTAAGTTGATGGATGGTTCTAAAATTTACACTATTTAAATTCCTCAAAAGTACTTTGCATAAGAGATAACTCTCCTTGCTCTGTTCTCTCCATAACTTGGGGTGGCACAAAAGGAATAGAAAGGTGGCCCATGTATTGGGCTGGCAATTCCTCCTGTGGGTGGAGAGCTAGAAGAGCTAGCTATACACCATTCCCCCTGTATTCAAAGGGCCGTAAGTCCAAGGGTTGCCAGGTGTCCAGTATTTGAGCTTTCTGTTTGGGAAACAAATTGAGAAAATTTAAATGAGAAAATAAAAATGTCCGGTATTTTCTAAATAAGATGTAATGTAGATTGTGATGTACTGTCAACTGTGTCCAGTATTTTTGCTGAAACCATCTGGCAACCTTAGCCCATGATCATAGCACAGAAGATGAACTATCCCATGGGTTTGTTAGAGGAGTCTGGAGGTCAGGGAAGCTGGAACAGATTTTATAGTGGGGGTGCTAAGAGCTTTTGAACTATAATGGAATCTACTTCAAACCAGGGGGTGCAGTAGCACCCACTGTTCTAGCACTCTGTGCTGGAGGCTGGTCTAACCCACACCCAGGCCATGCCAGAACTGAAGAAAGAACTGAGAAACTGCAATCACAGCCAGCTCCCCAGAGTCTGTACCAGGGGAAATGAGTTGCAGCGAGGTTTAAATAACACACAGTACATTATTTAAACCTTGCTGCACCTCATTTTCCCTAGGAAAATGTTAGATTAGAGCCGGGAATCAAAGTAGGCACATTTGCAATCCACTCTCCCGGTCCCATGCTTACAATACTACCCCTGAAAGTGCTAGCTTCTGTTCAATTGTAGTTTCATATTGGAAGGTTTTAAAGCTGTAATTTGCCATTTGTTTTTTCTCACACACTAGATCCACAGGAGTCAAACAGTCCGAAGCCTAAATTTAATGCTTTCCTTGAGTGGTACAATACAAATTATACCTACTTACTGCCTTTCAGATTTTCTATTAGGAATTTTTATTAATAATTTTATAGATTTCTGTTAATTCTACCAATGGACCATACAGAAATATTAAGAAAAAACCAGACAGCATCATTGCCATATTGCCTGTAACATTGTCTAAAGTTAGATGTGTTAATTTGTTCTCCTTTTCCCCTATGGCTTTACTAGGAAATGAAGAAACAGTACAGATCAAAGTTCGCCAGACTGAAGATTATCCAGTTGATCTCTATTACCTCATGGACCTTTCCGCTTCAATGGATGATGATCTGAATACAATAAAGGAATTAGGCTCAACTCTCTCCAAAGAAATGTCAAAACTAACAAGCAACTTTAGACTGGGTTTTGGGTCTTTTGTTGAAAAGCCAGTTTCTCCATTCATCAAAACCACAACGGAAGAAATAAACAATCCTTGCAGGTAGGCAAAGAAAGCACTGATGTATGTGTTATAATTTAATGTAGAAACATAGATTAAATTGATCTGTAGGGGCAAAATCCTGCTCATTGTCCTCACTGGAGCCTTTCCACCTTACTCACTTGCAATTGAGTGAATAAGGCAAGTGGGGTGTGGCACTGGGTTCATACTCAGGTTGTTTTCAGTATCCTCTTGGGTGGTGGGGAGCAGGGAGGAACAAGCTTGCCTATGTCCTTGCTGTTCAGATTTTCCTGTTAGTTACAGGTGTCTTTGATTAACAACATCAATACTCATATGTCTCTTTATTTTGCTGGAAAACACACACATATTATTCAAATCCTGGATTATTCATATGACATCTTTAAGGGTCACCATACTTTTCATTACTCAGCTATAAGAAGCAACAACAGTTTTGTCTATTTATCAATGGCATTCTTGTTATGTCTTTGTTTTAAATAACCAGGAATAGTTCCCTGAGCCTTGTTTTGCAGGAGTCCTGCCCAGATCACAACTTGGGGATACATGGGGAGAATAGAGGGAGGAGCCCAGTAAGCTTATCAGGATGTGATGTGGGAGCATAGTGTGCCCTGGAAAGGGCTGGATCCAATTACAAGGGGAGCACAGAAGTTCTGCAACTGTGGGGTATTATTGGGACCTCCCAGGGCTACTCCTGGGGAAGTGCAATTTGTATGCCACACTTTAGCCACAGCGAATCTGAATGGACAGTTTCTTATTAGAATTAATTGAGTTCCATGTTATGTTTTAACCTTGAAGTTTTTTTCATTGGATCTGTCTCACTGAGCAATGATATTAATAAAAACCACATGCACCGAAGAGATGTGCACCTGACAATTAAGCTAGCTAGAGTTCCACAGCAACTACAGTGAATGCATCCTGTCTCTGCAGTGGCTGTAAGATACAGATCTAGCTCTACCATTTATTTTATAGAAGTGTTCCATATGATTGCTTACCCACCTTTGGATACAAGCATGTTTTGCCATTAACAAATGACGCTGAAAAATTCAATGAAATTGTGAAAAGACAGAAAATCTCTGCTAATATAGACACTCCGGAGGGAGGATTTGATGCAATTATGCAGGCAGCTGTTTGCAAGGTAATGAAACTTATAGGTGTAATATTTATTAGTCCACATTTTAGTATTAGCAGATTTTATGGTTTGGGGTTTTTTAAAAGTAGCTCTTGTTTTCTCAAAATGTAGACTCTGACCCTGATCTGACTCCACTAAAATCCTAAGAACGGCCATGCAGGGTCAGACCAAATGTCCATCTAGCCTAGTATCCTGTCTTCCGACAGTTGCCAATGCCATATGCCCCAGAGGGAGGGAACACAGCAGGGAATCATTAAGCAATCCCTCTACTGTCACCCATTCCCAGCCAGTCAGAGGATAATGACACCATCCTCCATAGCCATTGATGGACTTATTCTCCATGAATTTATCTAGCTCTTTTTTGAACCCTGTGAAAGTTCTGGCCTTCACAACATCCTCTGGCAAGGAGTTCCACAGGTTGACTGTGTATTGCGTGAAGAAATACTTCCTTTTGTTTGTTTTAAACCTGCTACCTATTAAAATCAATGGAGGACCCCCACTGATTTCATTGGGTGTTTGGTCAGACTGTGAAGGTATATTCAAATGATCTTTTTTTTTCACTTGAAAAGTGTATAATATAATCAACTTAAAAATGATAATGTTGTAGTGTCCATCAATTTAAATGCACTGATTATGTAATAATCAGGTGTCTATGGGGAATTAAAAGCAATAAAATTGCCACTTATTCACAATATTTTCTTCACTTTTCCCCTCTTTAAATATTTTAATGATCAACAATGTCTTACATAAATGACAAGCAGCTATACATTTGCATAACCAGCACACTTCACTCAACAAATCAACAGGAAGAGGAGATATGTTGCTCAGAGTCAATGGGATGAACTCTGTTAAATAATTATCATGATGTCTGCTTACAGGGCTTTGTAAGACCTCTTCTGTCTTTTTACCCCATCATTCTGTATTGTTTCTATCAATGTAATCAAAGTCTATACTGAAGTTACATTTTAATTTCAGGAAAAAATTGGGTGGAGAAATGACTCTCTACATTTGCTGGTGTTTGTGAGTGATGCTGATTCCCATTTTGGGATGGACAGTAAACTGGCAGGGATTGTTATTCCAAATGATGGGCATTGTCACTTGGACCACAATAATGAATATTCCATGTCAACAGTTCTGGTAATGTGCTTTGTACAATTATTTCATTATGGAATTTTAAAGTACAGAAAAGTTGAATTGGTATATTAATGACAGTGTTCAGTGATATGCATTAGAATTTGGGAAATCCAGTCATTTGATGTCATCCATTTTAATTTTAATCATATATTTTCATAAAATCAGAACTAAGAACACAGCATGTTGACACAACTGATCTTTGAACATGTTATGATGAGAAAAAAAAGTCATACCTCTTACTCCCAATAACTGCCACCATGGGTAACATGTGGAATGGGATTTCTTGGCATCCTCTCCTGAGAGGAGAGCAAATATACGCTTTCATCACATTGTCTTGAAGAAAATGAATTAAGAAGTAGTTCAGGAATTTGTAGGACACTACTGAGGTCAGAGAAACATTTCAAACTAAGATTCAAGTGCTCATACTAATGCTGTTATTTAATTAGTTCTATTATGGTAGTGTTTGGAGACCACTTTCAGGATGTGGGCTGTATTGTGCTAGGTGCCATACAAACAGAAAGGTAGGAGGTCCTTGCATCAAAGTGTTAGACTCTGAGAAGATGAGAAAGCTAAACTCAAGAATTAAGGGATTGAAAGAGGATTCCCAAGGCTTGTGATCTAGTGTGTGGACTAAAACTCCTGACCCCAGGCACTGAGGCATGTCACCAAGGTGGGTGGATAACTCAGGCTACGTCTAGATTGCATCCCTTTTTCGGAAAAGGGATGCAAATTAGACGTAACGCAATTGCTAATGAAGCAGGGATTTAAATCTCCGCCGCTTCATTAGCATAAAAATGGCTGCCTTTTTTTTCAGCACAGAGCTTTGCCGGAAAAAAGCACCAGTCTAGACGCGGATCTTTCGGGAAAATAAAGCCTCTTAAAATAAGGGATAAGGGATCTTTTGGAAAAGGCTTTATTTTCCGAAAGATCCGCGTCTAGACTGGCGCTTTTTTCCGGCAAAGCTCTGTGCCGGAAAAAAGTGGCAGCCATTTTTATGCTAATGAAGCGGGGGAGATTTAAATCCCCGCTTCATTAGCAATTGCAATACATCTAATTTGCATCCCTTTTCCAAAAAAGGGATGCAATCTAGACGTAGCCTCTGTCTCTTCAGGGTAATGTGACCACCAGAAGAAAAGACTCTAAGTACATATACACATTTACTCTGTATGCGTATGGGGGTAATTTCATGTTTATATTATATGGAGCACAGTATGAATGTGTGTTCATTAGAAATCACATGTAATGATTTTCATCGCTGCTTTTAACTCCTTGGTCCTTTTGTAAAACAAGAGTTGATTTGCTCTTTCTATTTGTTTTCAGGAGTATCCAACAATTGGACAACTAACAGACAAGCTTGTGCAAAATAATGTTTTACTAATTTTTGCCGTAACAGAGGAACAAGTTTACTTATATGAGGTAAGGTAACTAAAATTTGTAACTGTCCAGTGTTCTGCTTGAATGTTCCTTTTTATATTATTTATATATTCACCCCTTCTTTTTCAGTTTAAAATATTTTTTATTGAAAAGCTCTGGGTTTTACAAAAAATATTATTCAGTTTTTCTGATTTTCACCCTACTTTTATATCATTCAAATATATAAAAAACTTGATTAAAAAAAATAAGTTAAGTGAGATGTGTATTACAATAGTACATTTGTTTATTTGCATATGTAAAGCTGCCTGCTGAAGTAAGATACATACAAGATACAAACAGGTCTGAAGTTCTGAAATGCATGCACATCTGAATGTACTGATGAATCTCATGCTACCACATTTCAAGTTCTTAGCAGATAATGGTTCTTTGAAAGTTTAAAAAAAAACAGAGAAAAGGATAAAATTGAGTGTATGTGCTACAGATAGCGTGACCAGTTATTAAAAGTAAATATTCATAGGCTAAGAGTTCTAAGTCTACAACAATAAACTTTTTATTTAAAGTAAAAGTTTTATGTGAGGTTTTGAGATACATTGTTTTCTTAAACTGTTAGGTGGCATTGTGTTTTGAGTTCTGTTTTAGTTTTGCAGCAAACCATACTGATGAACAGAATTCAAAGAATTATTCTACTGACTACTAACCTTTTTTCCTTTGTCTTTCCATCCATCAAAATAAACCTTGATATTTACCCCCAAAATTATTAATAGTTTTTGCTCTGATTTTCACCTGATTATGGTGTTGTGATAATAAACACGGATAACTTCCCGGGAAAAATTAAATACAATAAAAACTGTAAATGAAGGGCTCTATTTATACAGTACCTGTTGATAAGACTAAACACTGAGGATTCTACCATGCAAAGTGAAAATTTAATTTAAAAAATTTGAAATATAGATACCCAAATTAGAACATGTAAAAGTACAGTTACTTTGAAAACATCTTAGCATGTACTGATTTTGTGGTTATTTATTTTATTATAAATTGGGTTTTAAATTAATTAAGATTGTGAATAACTACTTTTTAAGCCATAGTGGATAAGGATGTTCAACCCTGAAGCTTATCTGAACTGTTTTGCATAATCACTAGCATTAGACAGTAATACGTTAAGATGCTGAGACTAAGGATGTTAAGAGGCGGGTTATTGGATAATCATGTAGTTGATATAATTTATATCAACTACACGATTAGTTGATAACGGAGGGCACTCAGAAGGAGCTATCCCTACAGCAGTTTAAATGCAGAAAGAGTTGGGCACACAGGCAGCCTGGCTCCTACTATATTTAAACTGCAGAGCCACAAGCAAGGGTAGCTCCTGGACTCGGTGCATACTGGGACTGAGCGGGGCTTGCTCAATCCTGGCTCACACCAGGTCCAGCAGCCCCTGGCCATGGGTGGCGTCCCAGTGGGGAGCTGCCCCCGGTCCTGCCATGGACTGGAGCTGTTGCCAGAGCAGCCTCCCCTGCCCCCCATGCTGCTGCCTCTGCTCCTACAGCACCAGCACCTGATTTCCCCCTTCCCCCCCCCCCACCTCTTGCTGCCTCGGATAGCCTAGGCTTATCGGGTAGTCAACTAATCGACTACTTTTTTATATCCCTAGCTGGGACTAATACTCCAGCCTGCTTTTTTTTTTTTTTTGTTCATCTCTCAGATAATGAGTTTTCACCTGCTCTGACCATTTGCTTCCTGCTCTTCAGTTTGAAACTTCTTTATGGTGAGATAAGTGGAAAGGGACCAGGATAGATAAAGTACAAAATGGCAAACTGGAAGGAGGACCTTTTCCCCTCCCCCTCTCATGTAACTGCTAGGGATGTTAGCACCTAGTTGAATAGTCGACTAATCAATAAGCAGCACCATCAACTAGCCGCTTCCCCCCACTGCTGTGGCTCTGCATTGTAAAGTCTAGGGAAACATGCGCAAAATCACTAGCTCAGCCGCTGCTTCACATGTGTCTTTTCATACATCTCTCTCTCTCTCTCTCTCACACACACACACACACACACACACACACACACACACACACACACACACACACACACAGAGAGAGAGAGAGAGAGAGAGAGAGAGGGAGAGTGCTTGTGGGTGGAGGTTGGACTTTGTGCTAAGGCTTTCCTGGGCTTCACAATACAGAGCTGCAGCTGGGAAGGTTTTGCTGTGAATCGGCATGAGCCAAACTGAGCTTACCATTGTCAACTAATCAAATAGTTGACAGAAAATCTGTCAGCTATTCGATTGGAGAAGTCATCACATTTTAACATCCCTAGGAACTGCCTGTATGCACTAAAAGGAGAAAAGATGTTTAGCATTGTTTGAAGTGAAGAATACAAGTCTCAGTTACGTGAAGACTCTTTTGTTTAAAAAGCCATTGCATGACAAAGGGAAGCAGAGAAAATGAAGAAAAGATTAAACAGTTTATTGAAAATACAACTGGGACAAAGAGGGGAATGGATACTTTGCATTACCACTGTGCATCTATTCATGGTCTGGCCAGTAGCAGTTCCATCCATCCCTTAGTGAAATTAAAGCAGCCATAACTTATATCTGGCAAGCACATTTTGCCTCGGCATCCCTAGTTTGTCCCCTAGTCTGGATATACAGGCAGTCCCCGAGTTACGCGGATCCGACTTATGTCGGATCTGCAGTTACGAATGGGGCTCTCCCTCTCCCTGGTCTCCAGCAGACCAGGGAGAGGAAGCAAAGCAGCGGAACAGGCAGGCAGCGGACAGCCCAGATGCGACCAACCCAGCAGCACCCCAGCTGCTCTGCCCCAGGTGTCCCCAAGTCAGTCGCTGCTGAAACTGACCAGTGGCTGACTACAGGAAGCCCTTGCCCTGGGCTTCCTGGAATCAGCCGCTGATCAGTTTCAGCAGCAGCTGACTTGGGGATGCCTGGGGTTCTTAAGTTGAATCTGTATGTAAGTCAGAACTGGCGTCCAGATTCGGCCGCTGCTGAAGCTGATCAGTTTCAACAGTGGGTGAATCTTGACGCCAGTTCTGACTTACATACAGATTCAACTTAAGAACAAACCTACAGTCCCTATCTTGTACGTAACCCGGGGACTGCCTGTACTTGGGGATTCTCCTATAGCTGGGGAATTTTCCAGTGACTGGTACCAGCAGAACCAATGTATGGGGTGACAGGATAGCCATGCAGTGGGCCAACATCACTTAAGTTTCCTGTTTAAAATGTGAGTAGAAATAAGTAGAGGATGGGAGGAAAATTAACTAAAGCTGAGCTACTTCCCATCTGCAGTAAAACCACAGAAAAATAATCAAGCATTGAACTGTCAGATAAATCCCTTTCCCTCCATTATGAGGTGTTTGCGTCACTGTGGAGGGGACGTGGTAAAAATAAAATGTTAAATGGGTAAGGAGCCTGTGTTTCCTTGAGAGTCAATGGGATTCAGGCTTCTTACACTCTTCTGAAAATTGTACCCATGGCCTTATAAGACTATATCTGGAGGATCTATAGAGAAGACAGGATGTAGTCTCACCTATACCAGATTACATATGAAGACCTAGCCATCCATGCAGTCCCTGCTTTCAGCCTCTCTGACAATACATCTCATGTTACTGTTGGCTGCTTCTTCTGTGTACTCAGTCTGATTCTGCTTGCACTGGGGTAGAAGTCATGGAATCACAGTGGAAGTGGGTTAATGAGAGACTGTGAAATGTAGTGTACTTGGAGATTTTTCACAAGGAGCTCTTTCCTCTCCTCTGTTTCACTCTGAGATGTGTAGTGAGCAGTTAAAGGGCCCTCACTAAGAGAACTCTGTATCCATCTTATTTTGTTATTTATATTTTTGCCAAGTCGAGCTGTTTTTAATTAATCTTTAGTGTCTAAAATTAGATCAGAATTCACTGTTTGCAGTTTCATAATCTTGATTTATATTGTCATATCACAATTTCTTTATAATCATAAATAAGGAAGAATCTCACTTTTGGATAACTATTCTGAGTTTGATTGACACAAACTGTGAGTGTGAGTCCCATAGTTCTAGATATGCCTCTTGATGTTTAGGAAAGACAGCAATAAAAGTCGGGTACTTTTTAAAAAATTATTATTTTGTATTTATTTTGATTAACTGTCCATCTAATCTACAGGTTAGTAAGGCTGTATGCAAGGAATAATAGCAATAGATAGTCAGTTAAGTGTCAGAATGCCACATGCAAAAGATAAAAGCAGTAGATAGAATGTTTAAAAGAACTGTTATATTTTATACAAGACAGAAAATGGTATTACTTTAATTTTCTGACAAAGAAAGTAGAGAAAAAAAAGTTGTAGATGGATTAACAATGGCTCTTTTTTTTTTTTTAAGCTGTAACTCTTAGTATAGAGTTCTAGTGAACAAAGCATGACACTTGATAACTTTGATACTGGTATGAAACTGACACAGAGATATTGAAACATAAAACCTTTGATAAGAACGGTGTTATCCAGAACAGTCAGTGACTGCTGGGAAATTCCAAAGGAAAAGTTTATGCACCCAGTGAGGGAAGGATCTTTTCAGTGCAATAAAACAGTAAATTAAAGAGGAACTGGATAACTCCAGATTTAGGTGTAGGATCTAATCCCATGTCCATTAAAGCCAGTGGATAGATTTCATTGGCCCCTAGCAAGCAATCCTTGGGTAATGGTAGAATTTTAATACCCACTCAGTGGATGCCATAAATATTTAGCTCGTTTATACTCTTTGATTATTTAACTACAGGGTGCAGAATGAGTAATTTCTGCTAGTTCCTTATATGTTGAACTCAGAATGCACTATTTCCTCTGAGCATGTGTGATTGGACTCAGCTACAACACTTGTATATTGATTTTAATAATGTTATTGTTTTAATATCTTTTTTCTGTAGCCACAACCAGGAGCTTGCTCCTCAGGTACACACTAAAGCAATGGGAGCAACACCATTTTCCACTTTCTCCTTTAACCATGGGTGCAGTAAGAGGCCTGTTTAGCAAGCAGCACAACTCAGAGCAGCCTCAGGATAACCCCAAAAAGTCCATGATCCCTTTTTTCAACATACCTATGATTCTGGCTTTCCATTTTTTAGGATATATTTACTAACAAGTGATTTCTTTATCTGCCGCTATTGGGCCAGATTCTCTTCACAAATGCACTGGTTTACAGGCCTTATCCAAAGTCTACTGACATCAGTGTTTTGGATTAGCGTCAGAATATGAAATGGTTTCATTTCATTCAGTGGGATTGCTCATGATTAGGACCAGTCTACATGAAAGCAGAATTTGTGATGTGAGTAGGGGGTGACAAAACTGGTTTTGTTTAACTGGAAAACACTTTCAAATTAATGGATTCTAGATTTTAAACAAACCTCAAGCCTGGTGAGTATTTAGTTCCATTTGGCACTGCCAAAGCGAGAATTGTAAAATGCTCTTTATTTTTAAATTCTATTTTCTGTACCTGGAAAAGGAGTGGAATTACTTTCAAAGAACAATTGTTATTGTTTACTCAGGTTAGAATTCCATGTTGTAAGAAACATACAGGGATTTTTGAGGATGGGGTAATTGAATTTTCCTTTATATAAGAAACTATTTTGCAAATAAAAATATTAAAAACTAGAGTTGTTAATTAATCCCATTATCAACTCAGAAATAAATTTCAGTTAAAGAAAGAATCATAATTAATCACAGTTTTAATTGCACTGTTAAAATAAAATATAAATTGAAATTTATTAAATACTGTGGTTGTTTTCCTTCATTTTCAAATATAGTGATTCAAATTACAACACAAAATATAAACTGTACAGTGCTCACTTTGTTATAAATACTTGCACTGTAAAAATGATAAAAGAAATGGTGTTTTTCAGATCACCTCATGCAAGTACTATAGTGCAGAAAGTACAACTTACAAATGCAGATTTTTTTTCTTACATATCTGCACTCTAACAGGGTGTCTCAGGACCCTCCCATCCTCCTTGATCCTGCCTCTGCTCTGCTTGGAAAACCTCTCAGAGATCTTCTGCCTCAACATTTGCTGGTGCAGTTTATTTACAACAGTCATGTCAAACATGCAGCCCGCTGGCTGCATGCAGCCCAATCAAATTTTTTTGTGGCCTGTGACTACATCTTTATAAATTACTAAGTGCAGCCCGCCTGGTTACATTGTTTACAACAGGGGTGGCCAACCCATGGCTCTCGAGCCACATGCGGCTCTTTGATTAAAGAAATGCGGGTCCTGCTGGTTCGGAGCTGCACACCCGGACTGCTCATGGCTAGCTGCTCTGTGCACATGCTCCAGCACCTGGAGGGAAAAGCGCATGGCAGTGGTGGCTCCAGGACCTAGGCATTACAGCATGCAATCCCACCACCTTCTCACCACATATTGCTTGGGGGAGAGAGGGGAGTTCAGACTTAGAGTTTTACTTTCCTGCATCCAGGAGGAAAGAGCTACCATTCTCATTCCACTCTCTGGCATTCCCCTTTTCTTCCTTCCTCTGGGCCTATATATAACCCAGGCTAATTGGGCTAGCAGATGTTTCCCATTTGCCTCTCAGGTGCAGGCATCTAATGCCTCCAATATCTCCAATTTGTCTCCCTTCATTGATAGCTGGTGTGACTGAAGGCGGAGTCAGCAATTCCTGCTCAGCACTGTGTCACACATTCAAAATAAAACAATGTAAAACTTGAGAGCCTGCAAGTCCGTTCAGTCCTATCTCTTGTTCAGGAAATCACTGAGAGTACTGTGCACTTTAAATTCTTACTTGTAATTTAAATCAACATATTGGAAAATGTAGAAAACATCCCTTAAATAACAAACATCTAACAAACATTAAATAAATGGCATTCTATTATTGTTTAACAATGGAATTCATCATAATTAATTTTTAATCAGGCAATTAATGACAATATTTTAATTGCTTGTTAGCCCTTAAAAAACTCACAAGTACAAATTTGAGGATGGCTCTTCAAGTAATATTACATGCTGGCAATTGTTAAATACTTTGGTATAGTCACTGGTTCAAGAACAACACTCCTTAACTGCCATGATTTTTTTTTCAAAATATCCCATTCTTTGATGAATGTATGATGTAGTATTTCAGTTTATAAGACATTGTTGTAGCCCACAGGGAATCTTTCTTGTAATGACAATTTGAATTGCATTGTTGAATATTTGAATGAACAAAAGACCAATCAGGAACAATTTTGAGAAATATGACCGTAATACCACTTAGCTTTTATAAACAGCTTCTAATTTTCCAAAAATTATATAAACTTAATTGAACCATAATATATGTTTTGTTAGGTTGGACTAGTTCAGTATAAGAAGGCTGCCTGTATTGTCATTTATGCTATTATTATTACATTTTGTGTTACGATAGCATGTAGGAGCTCTGGACGTGAATAACATCTTTGTGGTATGTGCATAACAAACAGAACAGAAACACATTCATGACCCCAAAGAGCAGACAATCTAAGTATAAACTATGATTGAATAGACAGGGGAATACATTGACACAATGAAACAATGTTGCTTAGAAGAAATACCAGTAGCCTATCTATTGTGAAGTTTTTTTAAAGGCACCACAGAAAAGAGAGCATTTGGAGGAGGATAATGAAGAAGTTTTACAGATGTTTGCAGGTGCAATGGACTGGGATGTAGGCAGTCTTACCTAGTGGTTAGATCAGGAGTCAGGCATAGTGGGTGGGACAGCATCCAGATTGTGAAATGAAGCCAGCCAGACTGGAACTAGAGTCAACTTCCAGTTACCAAAGCTAGAGGGTTAAGCCAGAGTCCTAAGCAGGAATCAAAACTGAAGTGCAGAGTCAAGATCAGATGACAAATTCCAGAGCCAGGAGTCAAGCCACAGTCAAGGTCAGAAGTTGCAGGGTGGGGGAACCAGAACAGGTAACTGATTATTAGCAGTGAAGAATAAGGGCAGGACGTGAGGATCAAGAACAGTGCCGGAGCATGGTGAGAATAGGAGTGAAGGCAGGAGCCAGGAGTGTGTGCCCACTGGCTTTTGGATGTTGCCATTCTTGATGTGTGATTTGTGTCCATTTATTCTTTTGCGTAGAGACAGTCCAGTTTGTCCAATGTACATGGCAGAGGGGCATTGCTGGCACATGATGGCATATATCTCATTAGTAGATCTGCATATGAATGAGCCTTGGATGGCATAGCTGATGTGGTTAGATCTGTGATGGTGTCATTAGGATAGATCTGTGGACAGAGCTGGCAAGGGTTTATTGTAGGGATCAGTTCCTGGATTGGGTATTTCTGTGAACTTTACATCCCACAATAGAAACACTAAACCAGGAACCTAGCCCTGCAAAATACCCAGTTGCCTACTCTGTCCACACGTCTATTCTAAAGTCAATCCATAGGCTACACCTGTGCCTTCCATATAGTTACCCATGGCATTTTTGTGCAAAGAGGAAAAGTAGAATATGGCCTTAAGCTCAGTATGTTTTTGCTGTTTGTTTTGCATGCTGTATGACATTTTAGATTCCAAACTCTAGAGCTTTCATTTATAACCAGGCAGCATAACATTCATGTTTAGAAAATACACAGTTCTATATTCTAAGAACAATCTTTCAAAGACAGAGTGCTATAATTCACAGGAGTTAGGCATACCAAATTGCCTGCTGTAACATAAAACGTGTTTAATCCTGCTGATTTACAATTGCACTTTAGTAATGTAATGAATGATAGGTATTTCATATATAATATTGAAAGTAATCATAATACTGATGGATGGGCAAAGTATAAAAGGCATGTAAGGGAATCAAATTATCTATCTTTTTGAATGCTTTTAATGTTTAAAAAAAATCAGCATTATAACAGTATCTTCCTTCTGCAGAATTTATCATGTTACCAATTTTCGCTCTTAACTGTCCTTTTCATTATCTGAAAGGAGTCCCATTGACTTCAGTAGGCATTGGTTCAAGCCCTAAACTCACTGTAGTAACCACCAGATGGGATTAATATTAGCTACTAGTTCTAACAACAAGCTATTGAGTGTCTTGCTACAATTAGAGCACTAAGGGGAGCCTGGACATTAAACGACCACAATTTTTTAATACGAACCCAGCATATAATCATGGTTCTAGGTAGACAATTCGTCCTGAAGTGTAACTAACAATTGATAAACATTTGTGGTATTTCTTTTCCAGTAATGAAACAGCAGCAAAATAGTTCTGAGCTCATGTTCCCAGCTCACCGATCTCATTTAGGTCTTATGGCATCTTCACTGCTGAGTCCTTGTGCACCATGAACTATATGCCAGTTAACATGTACCCATTTCAGAAAAGTAAAGTTTCTTAAGCCAATGCATATAGGACTTAGGGAAACAACATTACAATGGTAGTAAGAGCAGCAGAATCAGGCTCTGATTATTTCTTACTAAAAACAAATAGGACTGTTGAGAGTATATTTTCAGTTAATTGAAGAACATTGACGGGTCAGATTTTTCAAAAACTCCTAAGTGACTTTTGTGCCTCCATTGACTTTCAACGGTACTTGTGCTTGCTCTAGAGTTACTTAAATGCTCTTGAAAAATGTAATCATAATTCTTTAGATTGGTAGTTATAGGTTGTGGAGGAGGGCGGTTGACAGCAAGATTGACTATATCACCCATTGCCAAATTATGCTTTCAAGTTATTGTTCACAGCTCAAGTCTATAGTTTATACTTACTCTTTTCAGAATTATGCTAAACTTATTCCTGGAGCTACTGTTGGACAACTTCAGAAAGATTCTGGAAATATTCTCCAGTTGATTATTGATGCATATAAGGTATGTTTATACCATACTTCTCTTTTTTGCATGTTTGCTGTTCTCAGATATTAAATTATGATTTGGTGAAAATAAATGCCTTTGGTTTTGTTTCTGCATTGTTTACAATAACCACATCAGTTGTGCACAGATGCTCAGCAATACAGAAACTTTCTGTTGTTCCTGAAAGAAAGAACACACAAGTTCAAATGTTATCTGAGCATAAGCATCACACTGCTTTTCAGTAATATTGGAAAGCAATGCACTAAGAACGCTATTCTCTGTGGTGGTGGTTCTCATGTTTTTAAATAATAAGATACAGACAGGAAAAGATTTGAATGTGATTATGCAGGGAAATGCAAACAGGACATAAACATGATTCTGCCTTTCAGAACCTCATTTAAAAATAGATCCTGGCTTCCCTGCTCTTTGAAGGCAAAGGAATCTCTCTAGGTATATTTACAGGAATATGCTGAGGCTGGTAGTCCCTGTTTGTTTGGGGGTTTTCCCCATTACTTCACTTTTTTTTAATTACAAACTATTACAAGTTTGGCCTCTCTGGTCCAACACCCTCGGGACCTGACTGGTCTCAAATGAGGGAATTTGCCAGACCAGGGGAGGTCCCCCCACCACTGGCCCACCAGCCCGCCATCTCTCCACACTGCCAGCTTCACTTCTGGCCCTTGGCCTTCTGCCTCCAGCAGACTATGCTGCTGGCCCTGGCTCGGCTTGCCTGCCAGACACAGGCCCCCGCTTGCCTTGGAGTTCCCAGCCATGCCACAGGGCTCCCAGCTGTAGGTTCTTTTATGAAACACACTATAAGAAATGCAAGTTATTAATAATATCTCTCTCACACATGTATTGGCTTCTAAAATCTTCAGTGGGAATAAGCAAATTAGGAAACTATGAGCTGCCAAAATATTTGTTGTAAAATGTTCTCATGTTTCCCCTCTTCCTTCAGTATGATTCATGGTCTCCAGTAAGCAAGTCACTGCCTGCTCTGATAAAGGTTAAATTCTGTATGAGCTTTGTAGTGTCAATGCACTCATTCACGTTCCATTATATCTGAAATCAAGCCTGCTGGTTCCCATGTTATTCCAGCATTCTTAAAAACACAAAGAATTCCATTCTCTCCAGCAATCGATTTCCTTTTGGTTTACAGAGTAATTAAGATTGAAGGAATAATATTTTAAACAGATCAAGCACTGGTTTTAATCAGAGGAGCTGCTGGCAAGGGCTCAAGTTTGTTAACACCCCTGATGACTGTTTCGTTCAGGAATTCTTTGAGTTAAAAGCGCAGCTATGTTTTAATGCTCACTGCACTTGGGAACCAGGTTCTGCTCCTAGTTATATTCATGCAACCCAGTAGATTTGAGTCTTGAAGTCATGGAGGTGAAAACAGGGTGGCCTTTGAATCCAGATTGCCATTCATTTTCAGGTGAAGATAATACCTATTTTAATTTAAAAAATCTCTCAAAAAGAAACTGGAGATGTGGTGATAAAGATCTATTCTATCCCATTCATCTAACCAAAAAGATTATGGGCTTATGCATAATAGCATTTAATTTGTACTCTCAGTTACAATTTCACTTTTAAATAATTTTGCAGTGCAGCTGATGGAGTGAGGAGTTGACAACCAGACTATTGTGTGGTACATCTCATAGGGTCTGCATTGCTAACCTTCCTTATTTTAGCATCAGTCTCATAGTAGCTGATGCTTTTGTTAGAACCCCAGCTGCTGGAATCAGTTACTGTGTGAGAATCTCTGCTTTTGGTTTTTGGGATGGTTTTTTTTAAATGAATTTTCTTGATTTCATGGCTACAGAGAAACACTTGATCAATGTGATCAAACATCCCTGCACCAGATAGCAAATCAAAAGAACACAATATTTATTATCTATAATTCTCATGATTTTAAGCAAATCTCATGATTTTCTGGGGCTTTTAATTTTTGAATGCTTAGAGTTGGCAATAATGTAACTTGCACTAAGAGGTAAATCCCCGTCCCCTTCTATGGCAGGGCTGGGCAAAATATCATCTCTGGGCTGGATCCGGCCCACCAAGCCAGCAGATCCAGCCTGTGAGAGCCGCAGCCAATTCTCTGCTGCCCTGCTCCTGCTCTGCACTCAGTAAAGCTGGCTGCAGGGCCATGTGCTTCTGTGAATGCTGAAAACCTGGGGGAGGGGACAGAGGGTTCTCACATTGCTCCCACCCCCAGTCGCTCCCATTGGCCGGAATCCGGCCAATGGCTGGGACAGGGAGTCTGAGAGCAATGTGGGGCTGTTTTCAGCACATGGAAGGCAGGGACCGTAATTCAGAAACCTTCTGGGTTGCTGGCTGGGAGCCACCCAGATAAGGTCTCCCAGCCAAAGCCTGCTACTGGCACCCCAGGACCTCCCTCAACCTTCTATCCCCCTTCTATATCCCTACCCCATGTAACCCAAACCTTCTGCACCCTTGCTCCAGCACCCATACATCTTCCCAGACACTGCACCCCCTTCCAGACCTCGCACTGCATTCCATTATCCTTGGTCACAGCTCAAATCCCTGCACCCTCTCCTGCACTCCTGCCCCAGGTTACAACCCCCTCCCAGACCCTGTATCCAGGGGTGGGCAAGACAGCCTCTGTGGGCTGGATCTGGCCTGCCAAGCCCTTTGATCCAACCCATGGCTGCTCTGTCACTCCCCCACCCCCTGGCCAATCAAGTCCTGGGGATGGGGGAGCGTGCAAAGTCTCCTCTCCCCTGCCAGGGGTGCACAGCACCAGAGGGAACCACCAGCTATTCAAAACAGCCCTGTACCATTCAGGATCTGTGGACAGGGGAGCATGTGAAGTCCCCACCCCTTCTGCCCAACACACTGCCCCTTCTGGGGTGGCCTGCAACCTCTTCTGAAATTCATGAAGCGGCCCTCCTTCACAAATTATTGTCCATCCCTGCTCTATGAGGACAGAAGACCCTGCTGGCAGCAGAAACTATATAGTTCCACTACATGGAGAGAAGGAGCAGGAGGTGCCATGTATAGGTCACACAGACCCTGCCCGCCGAAGTAACACTTTCTAAGGAGGTTCCTTTGTGCTTCCAAACAGCAAGCATCTGAGAAAGCTGGGGAACAGCAGAGCTGGAGGATGTGCCAATCTTCCTGCTTCAGAGGGAGATGTAAAGCAATACACAGCAGGGAGGAGGGAGAGATTGCTTCTGAGTCAGCTCCCACAATTGACCCTCGCTGTACAGCCTTGTTGCTTAAGCTGGGTGCTGGAGAGTAGATTTGGAGCTAAACGAATCTATTGAACATCTTGCTTAACAAATATGCCACTATCCTTTTTATCTTAATAAAACAATACATCAGTGAGGTTTCTCAGATGGCAAAGCACAATTAAAGTGAAGCAGATAAACAAATGATGTGCTAGAGAATCCAAAGCCAATGCAAATGAGAACAAAATGTTAGCTCTGCAGATTTATACATATTCGACTCCAAGGTTCAGCTAATGCCCATTCTACCTAGTCTTGCAAACCATCACTTAAGAGAGTGGTCCTATTTATTAGGATGACTAACTGGAGAGTGTGCAGGGAAATTAAAAACAACAAATAGTTTAGTAGCACCGTAACGTCTAACAAAACATGTAGATGGTATCATTAGCTTTCGTGGGCACAACCCACTTCTTCAGATGATAGGAGTGTTGGAAGTCCAGATCCAAGAATAAATAAGAGAAGTGGGGGGGAGGGTGAGAGAAGGGGAAAAAATAAGGGGAGGAAGAAGAAAGAGAGGCAGTGAGTAGATAAGCTACTGAGGGGTAGCCAAGTTAGTCTGTAAGGGAACGTCTAGACTACATGGCTCCATTAAGGGAGCCATGTAGATTTGTTTGTTCGGCAAAGGGAAATGAAGCCACGATTTAAATAATCGCGGCTTCATTTAAATTTAAATGGCTGCCACGCTGAGCCAACAAACAGCTGATCAGCTGTTTGTTGGCTCAGCGTGGCAGCCATTTAAATTTAAATGGCTGCCACGCTGAGCCAACAAACAGCTGATCAGCTGTTTGTTGGCTCAGCGTGGCAGCCATTTAAATTTAAATGGCTGCCACGCTGAGCCAACAAACAGCTGATCAGCTGTTTGTTGGCTCAGCGTGGCAGCCATTTAAATTTAAATGGCTGCCACGCTGAGCCAACAAACAGCTGATCAGCTGTTTGTTGGCTCAGCGTGGCAGCCATTTAAATTTAAATGAAGCCGCGATTATTTAAATCGTGGCTTCATTTCCCTTTGCCGAACAAACAAATCTACATGGCTCCATCGACGGAGCCATGTAGTTTAGACACACCCTAACAGGAAAAATTTTAAAAACAACAAATATTCTAGTACCACCTTAAAGACTAACTAGTTACAAGAGGCTGATAAGAACTATTAGCACCTCCATAGTTTGGTTGGTAGGTTAAGTCATAGGATGTGGAAGGTAATGTGAGAGCCAACTGATGTCCTTGTTCATACCAAACAAACCTTGCTACTAGACCAGGGATGGCCAACCCATTCCAGACAAAGGGCCACAATAGCAGTGGAGACACAGTGAAGATCCAGGGCAAAGTTGTTGAGCCAAAGAAAAAAAAACAACAACCCTGCGCTGAGGTACAATAGGTGCTGGTACATTGTCCCATGGCTGCTTTTTTGTTTTTGTTTTGTTAACAACTTTTCCCTGGGTTTTCTTTTGTTTGGTTGTTTTTTTGTTTTATTTTGTTTTGTTTTTGTTTTGGTTGGCTCAACAACTTTGCACTGGGAAGGGGGTGAGAGGTGCAAGCTCTGGGAGGGAATTTGGGTGCAGGAGGAAGTAGAGAAGAGGATACTGGCTCAGGGAGTGGACTCCAGGCTGGAGAGTGTTGGGGTCAGGTGGAAGGTTGGGTGCTGAGCAAGTCGCAGGCTTGTGGCTGTAAGGGTGCAGGAGTTTGGGCTTTGAGCATGAGCTGGCTGGGATGCTGTGCACAACCCAATCCCCCTTTCCTTCCCTTCCCCAGAGCG